CAACAGTTAATCGATTGAAGAAATTATGTAGCAGCTTCAGGCCGGAGCGATTACGGTAAGCCTCGTTGAGCTCGACGGTGACGGCAGATGACGTCATATTCTGAAGACGGCGGGGCAGTGAAGGAGGGCCTGCTTCTGTTTACGGGGGAACACCTAAGGAATATTCGCCGTAAAACTTTCATTAACATCGGCTCCCTGTGCGACGAAAAGTTCGATGATGTGCGCCATGGGCAAAGTGTCTCTTTTTTTTTGGCCACCCCTGTACTTCTAATAAGCGCAAGTATCGTGTAGAAGGACTTCCACCATTCTAACTGCATTCCTTCCAGGAAACGGTCTTGAACCAGAAGATCTTTTCCTAAGCTAAAGGGTGGAGGAGATCCAGGGTGGATGATGATCACGTGCAACATATTTCGATCGGATGTGAACAGGGTAAGTGAGATGTAGGACGCCCAATAGTCCTTATCGAAAGAACATTTCAAATGACTCGTTTACGAATTATCTTATCCCACCGCGTATCACCTGCTGTGCATGGGGCAGCACAGCTCTGTTAGGGATGAGTTTGATATTTTCTCATACTCTAATGTTTTAGGAATATAATAATTCCGAGTTACTGCTTACTGCAAAAGCGTTACCATTATAGCAGAAGTTCAAGAACTAATCCAACTGACAACTCGAATGATGGATGCCAGTGCCGCTGACATGTACTGTCCTAGCCAAAAGTTCTTCGTCATATCTTCTCCGTTGAGGTCAATCATATACATACTTAGTCCACCACAGAACCACCTGCAATGTAAACTCGATTTCGCAAAAGCCAATTGAAAACTCATCGCAACAATTATGAAGGTATTAGCTAGCTGAATTGTGAATTGTGGCAGATTATGTACAATTTTTCCATAGTTTTATCTGCTCAGAAACCGTCGGTTCCTGCCACATTTTTTCGCTCTAAGGATTAGCTTACCTGCAAGAGAATCGACGTAAGAAAATTGAGAGTTCACCAAAGTAGAACAATATGTAAGTCTAAGTGTGTGCATTATATGCATATGTCTTTGTTAGTACATTAACACTTCCGAAACCTCTCATGCTATTGCTGTGGAATGTAGAGATCTTCGTTCGTAAACGTAGTCAATGGATACTACGGAAGCGTAGCTTTCTCCTGTAGGAGTACTGCAATGTCGGCAAAGGCAAACTCCGGGATTAGACAGACTAGTAGGAAGGATACTGCGAGGGAAATGTGGGGTCTGTACCTAGTAGATCATGCCAGCTTCGTTGCTCAAATTGCGCGATTAGGGCGCTAATCCATAACGGATCTGCAACCATCGACCCTCGCTGCAACGGTTCCTACCCACCACCATTGATATACAGGGTGTCCCATAAATATTGCACCAAATTTTGAGCTCAAATTTTGTAGGTGTTTATAGCTTTTCTTCCGAGATTGGCAGACCTTTCAATCCTCTATCCTCTTGTCAATGACCATGCCAAATTCCACGGCTTACCGTTCGGCCTGCATCTCATGGTGCGCCTAAACTTCAACAGAGTGCCTAACCTCTCATATAGCTAGGTCGGACATCCGGTGATGAACATCGCTCCGCGGCCTACTGTGCACTGAAGAGAAGTTCAATAAAAGTAGTCTTTGTTGCGGCCGCCCCACAAGTTCTGACATCTTGGATCTCAGGAAAAGCATGAAGAAGCGAAACGACTGCAATACCCGGGTTGGCTCGAGAAAGGTGACCAGAACGCTGGAGTTTCTAAACACAGCCATGTAGAGAGTGGTCGGATAACAACTGCTCACAGTCCATTATAAGTTGCATAAGCACCACTGCTCAATCCAACGGGAGGAGCACAGCAGAGACAAAAAGTTCAAAGAGCTGGTGTCGAGGGCCGAAAATGGCGATTACGCGGGCACCGTTTTCATCGACGACAAAATTCCTCACATGGAGCGGAGCTACAATCTTCAAACTTCCGAGGATGCCCGCATGAGGTCTTGAGGAAGTCAGTGAGAGTGAAGGAATATTCGCCACAAGCAGCAGCCGAACCTTATCATGGTCTGGACGGGGGTCTCAACTACCGGTCGCTCACCATCACTGCCTGTTTACAAAGGAATACAACTTGATACTAGACCGAGCCAAGGGACATTTCGGTGCACCATCTGTTACTGAGGTATCTAGCACTTTGAGGATGATATTCGGAATAGGACCCAACTTCTACATAGAAGAAAAAGAATATTCAATTTTCTTTGTCCGTTTCTTTCCGATTTCACATCCCTGAACGAATGGCTCTCCTCTACCTTTACTTAAAGGAGGATTGCACGGAAAGAACGAAGGTCGAAGAAGGGAGAAATCGCCTAGTGGGGAGAGCGGTGAATCTCTTGAGGGTGCGGACAGACACGCAATCGGCATCGAAAGATTTGACCTCTGAGATCTAGCATGGCTCAAAGTTGGCGAGTTCGGCGATCTCCGCCCACCGATCGTCTGATCACTCGCCGTAGTACAATAGGTGGCGAGTGATTAGATAGCTGAGAGAGCGTAGGGTTGAAGAGGGCAAAGCGATGAGAGTCCCATCAATGCTCAAATCAACGGACAAGGAAGGGGTCCCATTTCTCCGGTTCTGGGCCGTTTTTCGTGGTTTCGCTTTCTTTCTGGTACTACTCACCATCTCTACCTCAATTTGGAATGGGTTGCTTTTCCATCGTAAATTCGTCCTTTAAGCGTGCTGACCAATTCGATGAGATTGGGAACCATACTCACAACGACAGGGGAGCATATCCAATGAATGTTATTCCTTTCAATATGTAATGTGCTGCTAAAATTTTTGTGGAAACCTCCTTGAAGATACATCCATTTGAAAGAAATTGCAAGTAAGGAAAAGTAGTGCAATGTTCATGGGACACCCTGTAGAGATCAGCGTGCTCTCTTGACCTGTATGATTTCTTGCGGTCTTTGTGTTTCTTTGAACGCCCTTTATTTCTAACTCGGCCTATCCGAGTATCAAGCCATCGATTGACAGTTATACCGCTACCGACTTACGACTCCTCTGAAAGGACCTGATTTCCAACGCTGGTTTTTCCACGCTGGATTTGCTACCCTCGCGTTCATCAACCGATAAGATCTGATAATTTAGAAGTTAATTTCGTTAACGAGCACGTTACCCCTACGACTTAATAGGATATCATAAAATGAATTTGAAGTAAAGATATCATTATATTATGTTCGTAGTTATTCCACTATCCCTACTATATATAAAACGCTATGTCTGTCTGTACGTGTGTGTGTGTGTGTGCGTGTGTCACGAAATTCATAGCACGCGTCGCAGCAGTCGTTAGGAGCTGATTTTTTGATATGATATAGTGGGTGGGCGGTAACATATTTGGTGGGGGTTACAAAGTGATAACGACTGATAAGAGCAGATAAGAGGCGCTGAAACACAAATTTCACGAAATATGTAATTACGCTTCGCAGCAGTCGTCAGGAGTTGATTTTGGGACATGGTATAGGGGGTGTGGGGCCGAAAAAAAAACAATACTTTGGTGGGGTTGCACCTTTAAAAGAGGGTCAATAAACGCACATGAAACTAAATTTAGAATCAGACTACAAGAGAGCGCGCCTTTTGAAAACCAAATTCTGCACCGAAATTCAAAATATATGACGATCTTGCGCGACAGTCAGCGGGGCGAGAGAAGGTTGACTTTTGCGAGGAAACCATAGCCAATATCAAATAAGCTATCGATAAAGGAATAATGTCTATTTGATCGACGTAAGGTAGAAGGGCGCGAGAAGAGGCCACTTTTTTGTCGGGGTTGGGTAGGCCGCTACAAAGTTGATAACGTATCTGATAAGGAGCAGACAAGGGCGCGTGAAACCATCCAAAAAAATAACTCCGCATACGTAATTTATACAGTTGCCGCTTTTTGCTCTGCAGCAGTCGTCAGGAACTGATTTTGGGACATGATATGGGGGTGGACGGTAACATATTTTGTGGTTTTCAAAAAGTGATAACGACAGCTGAGGACTAATAGTAATGATATGCGTACGAACGTAGAGATCACTCGAAACCAGATTGCAGATAGTGCATTTCATTTCAATATCATTTCATTAGCGTTATAATTGTAAACTCAAACACCTTTCGACCGCTGCACCTTCTCGAGTTCTTGAGGATGAATGAGGATGCTCGAATAAATACGATAGTGAATACTGGGCATTCCGTTTTGAGATCATCAAAAATTATTCGACCGCTAAATTACCTCGATACTCGATGCATGGTGGTTGTTTACATACATCACTTTAGCTGTGCACTTCACTGCGCTTATCAAACAGTGAGATACAGCCAAGATGGGCAACGGACAGTAATGCATTTAACGAAGCAGCTATAGTTAAGCGGTGAAACCCAAAGCTTCACCGATTCTCACAAGGGAAGGATACCAGGTCGAAGTGGCCATTTGTAACGAGACATACACCACTAGATGTGTTTTTGGACGCTGATCTCGAATCTGCTCTCCAAATCTGCGGAACGATTCCCTGAACGTAGTTATGAAGCGAGATAGTGCAGTGGCAGCGGCCCAGGCCGACGGAAAAGAGGTCGTGGGATCGAATTCTTGGCGATATCTCACATTTGCTTTCCTTGAGACATTGCTAAAGATGCTTTTATCCATATAAATTATTAGCGATTGCCTATATTACAAGTGGGAATAGCTAGCGAGGAGCATCTAACACTGTGCGCGCCATTCGCAAAAGATCGCCCCTTGTACTCGTAGCGCACGCGTCAGGCGCATTCGTGCCAAACAGAGGTGATATTCGTATTCAGCGCGTCAAAATGCCCCTTTCCACAACTTTTGGTCCAAATCTGAAATTTGTACCTAACTTTGCAAATGTGGGCAGTCACCGTTGGTCATTTGCACATGGCACGCACACTTGATCGAAACTCCTCGCTATCTCCTCGCACTAGTAATAAAGGCGAGTGCTGATGACTTAGCATAGATGAGGATTTCCTTAACAATGTCCTCAGGAAAAGCAAAAGTCAAAACTCGCCGAAAATTCGATCCCACGACGTCTTTCCCGTTGGCCCGGGCCGCTGCCACTGCACTATCTCGCTTCATAACTACGTTCAGAGAATCGTTCCGCAGATTTGGAGAGCAGATTCAAGATCAGCGTCCAAAAACACATCTAGTGGTGTATGTCTCGTTACAAATGGCCACTTCGACCTGGGATCCTTCCCTTGTCAGTCCTATCAAAGGCTTCCGTGTCATGCGCGCGGTAGCGGGCGGAGCTAAACTGGTAAATATATATAAGTGCGGCTGCTAGGGATAAAGTACACTCTAGAATGAAAATCGGACAATCACGACAACGATATCATCTCTAGCACGCATCCCTTGCAGCCCTTTCCACATGGATAAGTCATGGAGTTATTGCTAACCGGAGTGGATTTCAGCGCCTTATCACTCCGCTGATAAGGGCTACTGCCGCTGAAACTTCACGTGTTGTAACGTTGGGCAGGACCCCTATCCACTCCAGCACACAGCATTCCTTATCGACCCAAAAAGAATTATCGTAACCACTTCCTTCAATGTTAGCGTTGCCAATGATGTCGCTTGCTCTCCTTTCCACTTTCAGTTACTTCCGCAGCTCAGTCATCACTACGAAGCGCCCTCATACATCAGCTTTATCCCGGGGCTTGCCTTTGAGTGAATTTTGGATATATAAGGGGCATCGCGAGTTCTGAACCTCTCTCCACGTGTGTGATTAGTGGTGCTCCCAGCCACTGATTGTGAGAAGCACCCGCAACAATTCTTTGTATTGTATTGGATTTGTTGAGTTGATCATTACTGGTAAGCACT